TCCCAGATGTTTTGCTGCTCCTGCTGGGAGCGGTGTCCGACGCTTTGAAACCAAGCGGGGCTGGGACGATTGCACCCAGCGATGAGGCACTGAGCTCCTGCGTGCTGCCTTGGGGGCGGGTTTTATTTTTCCTTTTCCTTGTGAAAAGATTATTGTGTGCTTTTGCCGGTGTACGGGGTGCGGGTGACCAAGGAGAAAGAGGATGTTCAGATTTTGAAACGGCAGGACAGATCATGTGGGCCGATCTGGGAGAAGTAGTCATGGGTGGAAAAAGTGAATTTAATGCAATTAGCTTGGCAAATTCCACTTTCGGTGGAATTCACTAGGTGTGACGTTCCCGATACTGTCCTGTCCAGTTCGAATAAGCCATTGGAGGAAATAAGACAACGGCAGAGGTGTAATGTGCATGTATGGATCATTCTTAGAATTGGAAGTCTTTCAAAGAGTAAGCACTTTGCTCCTCTTCCCTTGGAAGCGGTGAAGAGTTGGGCTATGCTGTTTCCCAAAACACCGTTCAGTTTCCAGATGTGACCCACGCAGGTGAATCTCGTAGTTGTGGCTGTGATCCACCTGCAGTGACAGGAGGATCATTTCTGCCCTGAAACGCCCCAAGAGCGTTCACTGCTTTGCATCATCACAGCAATTTGTGTTTCAAACTTTTTAAAGAGCTAAGAGACACATTGGATGTGATGGAGAAAGTCACTAAATCTGATCTACATCAAGTCTCTGTGTTAAGTTGTTCTGCTTGTAATTAGCTGGGGCTTTGTGTGCAGTAGCTGGTCATAACGGTCTGTAGCTCTTTCCTGGTCTCGTGGAGCTGAAGCCGTGGATCACTCACTTCCTTGATCTCAAATAGGAAACATTTTTGGCAACTGTCCTCTTAAGAATGCAGAGGAGTAAACACCACCATTGCCATACTCCTGGCCAACATTCTCATTACGGGATGTGGTTAAGCTTCCACAAAAATACACCAGAAGACAATCAAATAAAATGTTTTTACAGCTTATTTTAAAATTGTTAAATTTTTTTCACTTCCCAAAGCTGCACAACTTATATAGCCTGCACTTGAGCTCTAGGCACTGAGAACAATTAGGCTTCTGCTGTGATTACAGACTTCTTGCCAAGTTGATGAATAAAGTTACTTGTCAGAAGTAGTTACTGTCTCTGCTTGGGATCTGCTCACTGTTTAACCGGAACATGGTGCATCAAATGCTAGGTTGAAGCAAAGAGCTCTAAGTCATGGACATTCAGGGTTTGCAAAATACTGGTAACTGCCGCCTTTTTGGAAAGGTGGTGTCTGTGGGATTGATTTTTAAATACACGGACGTCAGCAGTGCTCTTGCTTATAATGCCACCTCTGCATATACCTGCGAGACCAAACTTTTATAAACAAGCTTAAATGCAACATACGCAGTTCTCCAAAGAATTAAAGGCTGCAACACTGCTGTGAATGGCTCCAAAGTAGTATAAGAAAAGGAGGACAACTCTTTTTAATAATGAAACTTCTCCTTAGCTATTAAGAATGCAAACGACTGCAATATTTAAATATTCACAGTTCTTTTAAAGCTGCCAGTAATGGCAGTGCCTGGGCCTGGCATGCTGGGGGCTCTGGGCAGTCGAAAGGGGCAAAGCTGGGCTTGTGAGGCTGGGGCATTTCAGCATGGCTTGACCCTCATCCATAGGACGAGGGTGCCCAGAGCACGTCCTCATCCTCCTCACTTTCTCTATATTCTCCGTTAGCTCAGAGCAGCGCTCCAGCCAGGCACTGTGTGTGTCACGCTTGGCTCCGATGCTCCCCCAGCTGCTCAGAGGAGCCTGGTGGAGAGGAGCCAGCCCCAGCCGGTGAGGTGTGGGCTTGTCCCACCCACGCAGGCATCTTTCCCTGTCCTGCAGCCCACGATCCTTGCAAATGTCAGCCCGCAGGTCACAGCTTGATGCCTGCCTCCCTGCACTCACTCAGCCCATGCGGCTTCAGAAAGGAACATGGGACTGGCTCTGCCTGGGGTCTCATGTAACCCCCCGGGGTTCCTGAGTAACTTGTCAACAGAGGTTTATCATGCCTGGTTTTTCAGTTTGTTTTTTTGTTATTCTTTAGGATTGTGTGAATATTGCTTGGAGTAGTCCAAAAGCAAGTGTTTCATCACAGTAGCACAGCTATCTTCATCTGATCAACAGTGCTAATACGCATCACTGTGAAATTTCATTGTACTGAGGCTAACGCTTCGGCACTTCAAACAAATGCTGTGAATAAACTGTACCTAGGGAACCAACTGTCAGGATCATCTCAAATGAGTTTAGTTTTAATGTGAAGTACCCAAAGCCTTAATGGCGCATGAAAATCCTGTGGCTGAACTTGGTGCCCCACACTTACCTCCCTTTGGAAATAACGGTGCCACTACCAGCAGCTTTGGGCTCATCCCTGCTCCTGCCACAGCAATGGCTGTGCTGTTTTGGCAGTCTGACCCCAGCCAGGCCCTTGTGAAGCACATCCCAGTCTGGGAGCCTTACACAAATAATTCACAGAATGTTGTAAACACTTCGGCACGCTGCCATAATGCCTGCACCATCACGAAAGATGATCCCCAAGGCAGCTAAAAAGGCTAACTTGTCCTCGGGGTTTATTTGGTACTGTTGCAATGCGGACCGTTGCGCGCTAGCGCTCAGCCTGTGGTCAGCTATTTATGTATGGCTGTCAGATATGCGCAGAACAGGTACCTTGCCTTAGATCTTGTTACCAGTCCTCCAGCTTCCTATTGGTCTCGTTTGATCGGTGAACACAACACACGCAGGATTCAGTTGCATTTTACTTCATGCACCCAGCGGCAGATAAGGCACAGCCAAAATGCTGTGGGCATGTTTTGCAAGAGCTCTCGCTGCCTTCACGGACTGCAGTGACAATATACTTACATTGTTCAGTCTCTCATGTCCCTTCCTTTTAGAATATGCAGCAATAAACTCCATGCTGGACCAGATCAACTCCTGCTTGGATCACCTGGAGGAGAAGAACGATTATCTACACGCCTGCTTGAAAGAACTGCTGGAGTCCAACCGCCAGACCCGCCTAGAGTTCCAGCAGCAGAGCGAGCAGCAGAACATGGAAGCTGATGTGCAGGGATCACAGCCTCCTGTCTAGTATGCTGGCCACAAACTCTCAGTTGGTATCACTAAGGGGACATTTACTGGTCACCGATTTAATGTAAAACTTGAGTAGAAGAGGTACCTCGTGCCTGTTACTTGTTCCTTCCTGTGGTTGTGTCCTGCCATTCACCTACATGTTCTGTTTTTCTTTAGCTGTGTGATAGGTGCAAAAGCACACAGATGGATGTAGGAGAGTTGGTTCTTTTCGCTCCCCAACATGAGCCTGGCACTGACACTTGGTTAAAGCTGGTTGTAGGAAACCTGATGCCATGCAGGTTGTTCGCAAGCAGGCCCTCTTCACAAAGAGAAAAAATGATCTCTGCTCTTTTGCGCTGCTAAATCCAAGCAAGAGTGTTATGGCTCTAGCCTCTTCCCTCAAAAAGCACAGTAGGCAGGGCTGTCCTGACTCTGGGCTTGCCCCTAAGTGTAACTCTAGTGACAGACTTTGAGAGGGGGGTCCTAGACCAGCTCCTGCCTTGAAACTACAGCTTCCCCATTATTCACATTAACTGTGATGTAAGAAATACTGGCAGATGGTCCCAGATCACTGGACTCTTCTGTCCCCTTCCAAGACAAGCTACCAGGGTGATGTTTTTGACTGTTATAATTGGAAGCTGCCTAACTCCTTAAGCTGCCATTAAGGACTCGGGCTTTAGAGAGAGGCAGAGCAGCCTGGTTAGCCCCCCCCACAGCATTAGCTATGCAGAGCAAAGAGACAGGGGCCTGCCTGCCGTGGGCTGTGAGCAGAGTCCTCCCGGTACATTACACACGAGCATTCTGGTCTGAAACTTTGTGATCTTGTCAGGACGGCCTGGGGCCAGCACTGTGAAGCAAGTCTTACTATTCTACTTCTGTAGAGTTAAAGGAGTTTTTTTGAAAGTTAAAGAAGTTATTTATAAGAAATCTGTTTTATTAAAATCAGTTTGAAACAAAATTTGTTCCTGAGAGTCTCCACTGTGAGAACAGACTGTATGAAGCCTTGTAGTGTCAACAAAGGACCAAGATGCACATTCTTGCCTAGCTTGGGACACAGTGCTTGTCCAAGAGTGTGCACCTTTGAAAGGAAACTGTTCTGAGGACCAGAACTGGGCACACTGTCTCCCAAGAGATAAACTTTTCCTCTGCCTAGAAAGGAAACAAGAGAGGAACTACAAAGAATTCTTAGTGAAAAATAAGTCTGCATCCATCTACTTCATTAACTTTGTGCCCTGTGGAAGTCACATTACCATCTTCTTTCAAGTTGAACAATCCAAGCCTCAGTCTTTCCACATAATTGCTGTATCCATCCCAACTGTACAAGTAATAACCAACACCATCCTGTATTAGACACGCTAAAGCCAGGCTTATTTTATTCTTAAAATAAAAACAGCAGTAAAGTTGAAGGTTTTTGCTCTATTAAAAGACTCAGAAAATAAACATTTCCAGCAAATATCATATGTAAAGGGCTCTCCCTTTAAGGCCACTCTATCTGGGTTTGCGCCTAGTAGAGCGTCTGCACCCAGCAGAGGTAAGACTGGCTGTCTCACCTTTGCCTAGGGAGGAAGGCTCTGCCGCTGCCTCCTGGCCTGTGTTTGCTGCCTCATTCTGTCCTAAACCCCCTCCATTCCCTGGATCCTGGCAGTCGTCTGTGCCTTCCCTTTGCCTGGCTGCACTGGCTTCCTCCTCCTTAGACACAGCGTGTCCCAACAACTCCCCTACAGCGCGGTTCTCTTCAGGGAGTGGGCAATCGGCACTAGTGGTAGTGGATTTGCTCTCTTCCTGTAGATTTTCTTCTTCTACAACCATGATTCCACATACATCATCAGTCACGCTGGCTAGGCTTTTGCCCTCTGCTACAGAGGCGGCCAGCTCACCCTTACCCTCTGGAGACCTCGAAGCTTGTTCTTGCAGGGCTGACAGCTCTGTACCCTCCTTGTCTATCCCATGATCATCATTCATCTTCTTGCTGATATCTGCTGTTGTAGCAGGAGGCTGTTTCAGATCATCCAGCAATTGGGAGCTGGAGCCCTGGGAATGCAAAGGAGCCTCGGGGTAGGCAGCTGTGGCACGATGCCTCGCTGCCTTGTATCTCTGCAAATACAAACAGACCAACGTGAGAGACAAGCCCAGCTCAGCTACTGTCACTGCAGCAAGTAGCAGCTGGTCCAGGAAAACCTGTACAAAAACAGTGGTGAGTGGCAGCTAGAATCTGCAGGGGCACGACTTGTCTCGGCAGCTCTCCTGGCCTGGCTGCTGGGGCTTTCAAGCAGAGAAGTGTCAGCTCCTGTGAGGAAAAGTGTCGATATTAAAAATTGAAGTCCCTCTCGCATTACTTGAGCGAGTGCATGGCAGACCTGTGGCTCCTGAGACAAAAATCATGTTTTGGCAACTGTTAATCTCAGTCAGACTCAGGACTTTGTAGATGTAACAGTGCAAGTGACAGCTCTTGCTTCAGCTACTGCCAAGACATAACTCTGGACATGTACCCTGGATACATGAAGCTATGCACTGCCCTCAGCTACAGAGATGTGATTTAATGTTTATCAGCTAAAGCAAGACTTAAGTTGAAAGCTTAAGATTTTTCACTCTGCTGATACGATCTGTGCAGCCAGTGAAACTGTGGACAGGAACACTAAGATATCAAGAATATCTTCTTGTTACAACTTACTGAGGTTCGCTACAGAATAAAGATAAGCATATCATCGATAAAATGACTCATTTGCACTAGCTATCATGATGAACCAGTAGAGGTCTGTAAAGAGATTAAAATGGCTACTAGCCATTTTCAAGACTGGATTTCAGAAAAACAGCAACTCTGTATAGCTATCTAACATGCAGTAGGAATCTGGTCTTCAAGAGCCAGACAGAGCATGAACTAAAGGAATAAAACAAAGCTCCCTCTTTTCCACAACAGTTCCCTCCACAATCAACTCACTTTCAGCTTTCTGCTAAAGGGTCCCTTGAACTGGCACTAGCATCAGACCTGACAATTTAAGGAAACTGTTTTGAGCGCACTGGCTTTCACCACTGCCTTAAGCAGTGCTACTGTAGTCTGCAATGTGAAATTATAGCACATTAAACAGGCAGCTTTACATTGTAATTCAGTTTATCATTGCAGGCTTGCTCTTTCCCTGTCCTCAAATAATGGGATCTGCGCAGTATCATAACACATTGGAACTAGATCAGTCGAGTCATAATGTTGTACCCAAACTAAACCAGGTGCAAGCATGCCAATTTGTTTTCAGGGTGATGCTGTGAACTGCCTCACCAGCAGACAATTCTCTGCTTTGAAACCCTCTGCTGAGCTACTCTCAGAGTACTCCAGAAACTGGCAATGATTTAACTCAGACTATGACAACCCCAAGGCACCTAGGCAGCCAAGAATAATAGTTATCTGCCTGCAGTTATTTAAGGTTGGACTCTTGTCATAAATAATCCCTCCAGGTCACTCTGGCATCCATTTGAAGAGCGTTTGATTTCAGCTCTAAGTGGGCCAAAAGGGAGGCATACGCACCGCTGCTGCAGTTTCTCTCTAAGCTGATCTAAAATAAGCCAGGAAAACTGCAAGGCTGATTCCTTCACTCCTGAAATGACTAGTTGCAGGAGTGGGAAAGGATGAGCAACCACGAAGGAACAGCTGCGTTCTTCTCCTGCTACTTGCCATTCCAAATCCACTGCTCTAAGTGCTGGCTTAGCACTGCTGGCTGCAGCACCCCACCCTTTCTGGAGGCAGTGATGGTTGACTAGGAATAGTTAACCTGTCTGAAGACTAGCACAAAAACACTAAGATTTTTTTTTTTTTTTAAACACTAACGAAAGCTGGATACATCTCCGGTAGGGAACCACAATGGCTTTTGCTGGAGCAGGTTTTGGGTGCAGGCAGAGGACAAAGTCAGTGTGGGAGCCTCCCTCCTTGCCAGGGTCAGGGAATACCGCTCTCCTGCACAGGCAGGGCGCAGGCAGTGGTCACGGGAAAGGGCAGAGACAGTGCAAGCCCTGCGTATCCACCACAAGGTACTAATCCAGGCCCCTCACCCCCTGGCAAGTCAACAAGGACAGAACGATGGAGGCAGATTCCAGGCCAGCCCAGTAGGAAAAGCTTCTAGATACGAAAGCAGCAAGGGGCAATATGGCTTCTTTAGGTCGAGCCAGTAAAGCAAAGGAACAGCATCAGTTGGCAGAGCTTTGTGCTAAGGAGTTTCTAGGAAAAGGTAGCAGACAGACAGACAGACTGACTTCCAGTTGCAGGCTGACCCTGGGGACCAAATGGACTCTCACCAGCTTGTAGCTTCCATCACATAAAAAGAGTCTGTAATGTTAAATTTCCAGATTTCTAAGGTGAATACCTGATTTTACCAGGCCCCTTCATGGATGAATCACACCCACAATTTTGGCTAAAGCAGCTGTTCCTGCAGTATCGCATGAAAAGATGCGTATGTACCAGCTTTCTTTAAAAGGAACAGCCTCCGTCTCTTGTTCTTTCCCCATCTTGACCCACCAGTAATCTGTCTAACAGAGAAGAGGCCTAAACTGAACAACACACTCCACAGGTTCAGCAAGCAGAGCAGACACTCTGAGGAAGATTTCCAGCCAGAAATGGGCAACAAGATGACAGCAGCAGTAGCTGGGAAGCAGGACTGGACTGGTTTTAGATCTACAGGGGTGATGGGAGACAAACACAGAGCACACCAGGAGAAAGCTATGGCACAATGGACACCAAGGATGATGGAAATGAACTGAAGACAAGACAGCTAACGTGGTGGATTCGCTGAAGAGACACGCACGAGGGTAACAAATGCCAGGCCATGCAATCGCCAAAGGGTCTAACCTGAAAGTTCTCAAAATGCATCAGGGACTTGCAGTGTGCGAGCCGGGCAGCAGAGTCGCTATGGTAGAATTTGTGACACAGCCTGCAGAGGTAACCTGCGACGGGGACCAGAAAATCCAGGCCTGCGAAACGGGAGGGGAAGGGAAATCACAGATCACATTGAATGGAACTCAAATAATGAAAGCATGTTAAAAAGGAAGGGGAGGGGAGGGAGAAAAAGAAAAGTGGAAAGCTTTGCTTCTGTTAATCAGGGATTTGCAAGATGACTTGCTGAATATCTCATCTTACCATGGAATGGCTGTGTGGTTGATATTCAGAGAGAAATCTGGCTGCCAGAGCAAAGAAACTACACAGAGCATTAAGGGGAAAAAAAGGAAAAAAGAATACAATGGAAAACTACAGAGAACATGTGATCTAATGTAATGGGATCAAACCAAGCAGAAGACAGCAGGCGCGCAAGAGGAACACGCAGAGAACATTCACAGCATGAATCATTATTCCATCTGCCACACGATAGTGGAAGGTTACAGTGATATGGAAGATTGGTGTAAACAGAGCTCTCCTTGGG